TATATTATTTGTTTGTAGTGTTTTTTATATTTTCTCTTCCTTGAAAATTCTGGCAAAATGATCGTCAGAAAGAGTTTCACTTAATTTGAAGATAATACTATATAATATTTATTTATATTCAATTACATCATTGTTTATTGTTTTAATAAATAATTTTTCTTCATTATTTTCTATCCAAATATCATTACCTTATTATAATTTCAATTTTAAAGAATTAATTTAGAAAATTGCCAAAGCTCACCAGTGGTAATTGTCACCACTTGGCCAAATTAATTACATGAGTAAACACAGGTCAAATACAAAAGATATGTCATAATGAAAAGGAATTCTGATTTTAGCTAATTTATAATATAGGATGTAATAGGACAGTTGATTCTACCAATTTTTAGCTAATCTATAGTATAGGAATTCTGATTTTTAATATAGGAATCACCATTTGATACAGTGATTCTTTTATATTTGCTAGTGAAAGTTAGTGCTAAGAGTTGATCAGAGAATTATGTAATTTTGTCTGATGGTGACAATCACCTCCAGTGAGCTTTAGCAATACCCTGATTTTATTGTATTAATTTAATAAATTATCACAAAATGCATTATTTTTTTTTTATTAAAATTTCTTATCAAATTTAAAAAAATTTTGTAATTTTTTACAATTCACTTTGTATTTATTATTTTTTTTATAAATGGAAAAATCAAAAGTAACTTCAATAATTATAAAGCAATGTAATAAGATGAATAACATTGTTAACAAGATTACCAGGAAATAATAATATTATTTTTTTAAAATAAATTTTTATTGTTTCAACAAACTAATGAATGTATGAAAAATTGATTAGATTTAAGAAAGGTAATTAAGATCTTAGGGATTTCTGCAAGAACCATGGTTCAAAAAATTAAAAAATTTCAGAATTAAATAATCATTTGTTAACTTGTGATTAAAATTTCAAATGATACTTAGAAGTCCATTCTCTTTAGGGGTTCACAAAAAATTTTTCCTGAGTACTAAAAAAATATAATTCATATTTTAAAATTTCAGGATGAATTCTAGCCTACAATATTTGCATAAACAGGTTTTTACAAAAAATGAAATGGTGATTGTTTACCATTCTTGATAATTTAAAATTTAAATTTAAATAATGAAATTACATTTAACATACTGCATATTGATTTATTTAGTGAGTGGTTATAATTTTTGTTTATGATAATTTCACTAGTTGATGAATAATAAAGTTATATATAAAATTATCTTTCTTTTTGAGTCAAATGTAAAATTTCAGAATATTTTATTGGTTCAACTAAATTTATTGGTTTTGTCGTGTAACTTAATTGTGAAATTTGATTGATTATCTCCAACGGACATAGCAGGTTTGATGTAAAAATGTTGCCTCGGGCAATCAATTATGAATTTAATAATAAAATAATATATTTCAAAAACCAAATATTGACTATATTTAGTTGTGGGTGTGCAATATTATTTGTATTTGTACTATTAAATTATAAAAGTATGATCGTTATTTTCTCGCGTATTTTGATTGAGAATATATGAAATTTTCATCAAACAGGAGTGGGAACTGGAAGTTCCGTGAATATGCACTGTTTTGTAATCAGAAATATTACGAAAAGAAATATGTGGACAAAACAATAATAATTAATATGGCTATTATACCTTGATTGTAGGCAATGTAAGTGTTTCCCATTCTTAAAGATTTTTGTTGAGAACGATTATTGCATTAAATTACGTATTAAATATATTAAATAGGATTAAATATTTTCTTGCAGTTGTTAATTAGAATTAATAAAGTTTATCTTTGACAAATAATTAATAAGATAATTAAGTTTTCCATGATACTAATAATAAGTTTAGATTTATAACGGTAGTGTGAATAAATATTATATTATTAATAAATTTCCTAAACAAGTAATTTTCTATATTATCATCCAGAATTGGGAAAGATTCGTAATCATGTAATTAGTTAATCAAATAATTCCTAAAATATTTATTGGTTGTTTTACCATGTTTACTAATTTTCCACATTTCTTTTATCCAAAACGAACACCGTGTTGTTTTTAAAATTTTAATTTATATTTCTTCGGTTTTTTTTTTCGAAATCTGGTTAATTATTTCATTTATTTAAGGTTCTCATGACGATTGTTTTTTACGAATGAGGAACTTTATTTCTGCAATTTAGAAATGCCATGCGAAATGATTTTCGGGTGAGATATGAAATTCATAGAAATAATTGTTTAATAAACACCTGCAAACTCTAAATCCAGCATGCTGAAGATGCCATTTCCTAAAGTTTTAAAACTTATTAAAAAAATGACTGAAGAGAAGATGATTTTTATACAATAAAGTAATGGCCAAGAATTCTTTTAGTCATTTAAATGATCAAAGAGTCCAATGTATAGTACCAGGTTGTTACATCAAGCCGAAAATTATGAATTTAGTTCCTTTGACAATCTTCGTTTGTTTTTGTTAGTCGAAGATAAAAAAAAGGCCAAAATTGATTATCAGTAACATTTGAATGACTTTATGTGTATCTTTTTGTATTGGAGGAAACGAGTACTTGATCTTGAAAATTCTAACCTACATTTTTGTGCACTCATTAATCCGTTTCATGTTTCCATCAATTTTTTTAAATTGAAACAAAAAATAATAAAGGAGTAAATGGATTAAAGCATCCGCTTGACTAATCCTGTGTGGTTTTAGAGCTGGTTTTGCCAGCTACAAAAAATAACAAATATATAATTGCGGAGAAAAAATAAATACTATAAGTATTTATAAATTATTAATTATATTAATGTATCTTGTTTCCAATTGGCGAATTTATTTTTAAATTTGTTGAAAATTTTAATTAATTACTAAATTAAAAATAAAACAATACATTTGTTAATCTAAAAATCTAATGCAATATGACTAATTCGAGACAATTAATCGAATTGTTATTTATCTCTCGATTATTCTCTATTCCAATATCATTATTATTATTTTTGGGAAACAATAATACTATTTATGCAAATTATTTAATTTATTTTAATTTTAATTTTTCTCGTCTATATTAAACAAAATAAATATTTCTTGTTCCTTCTTTGGGTATTACTAATAATTGAAATGTTCCAATTAATTATTAATTGATCCATCTTCTTCTTTTAATTCTAAATTAATTGTAATTACTATTATTGTTATGTATTGGAATTAAAATAGTTTTGACTTTTTCCATAATAATAATAAATAAACCAAAAATATTATTAATAAAATAAGAAAATACAATTTTTATCCAAAAAAATTGACTCCCTGGTTCCAATATTTCCATTGTTATATTGTAAAATCTTTTTTTTTTGAGTCTCAACACATAAAAATTATAATCAAAAAATAGAAAAATTATAAAACATTTACCCTAGTAATCCTCCTGAGCTGTATTAATCATACTTTAAATTTACGTTTAATTTTTTTAAATCTGAAAATTATCAAAAGAAAGCCATTTAGCTTGTTGCTTATCAATATTTCTACCCAATTTAGTTCTTTATTAAATCATCCAAATCCATTTGTTATAATGGAATCATTGCTGTTGTTGAAAATAGTTTGATGTGTTTGCATTTTCATTGACATCACAAAAAAAAATTTATACCTATATTTGCTTTATCATTGTTATAATCACCAAATTGAAAATACTTTCATTTTCTTCAATCTTCTTTTTTTACCCCACTTTCACTATAAAAATATAAATAAAAATGAATATAATAGAAATTGATTTTATAAATATTATATTTTATTATTACACTTACATCCACATTCATTATTCTTGTTTTAGATCGAATGATTGCTTGACCTATAGCGTATTGTAAATAAATTGGTGTGATACAAATGCTCTGTACTGTGGTGGCACGAAACTAACCGAACTCACGGGAGATATCATGAGATGATATGTGTCATGAATTATCCTTGTGCTTCATAAGATAACTGTTTATTCATCCCCCGTGATTATGGATGAAAGGGTAAGATATAAAATAGCTGCGGAAAAGGAAAAAAAACGAGATTCCTTTTCGCCAAAAAGAACAAGAACCTAAATAAAAATATTTTACTTGATGTTTCGAACAATCTTAGTTTTAGTTTCATTATTTTGAAACTTAAGTTTTTTTTTTTTGTTGTTTTATTTTTACTTTTATTCGTAATAATTTTAATAATAATAAATAATATAGTAACGGAATAACAAAAGTGATAAGATACGCTAAAGCAGTATATATTGCTTTTGTCATATTCCGATAGTAAACTTTAATTAAAATTAAATAAACTATTTCTTTTATTTCTTGGCAAAGTTACATCAAATGTCTATTCAGTTTTGGTAGTGTGCAAGCGGTAATAAAGATACTTTTACTCCACTTGCTCATCGTACCTTCAGATATTACACGTAGCTATATAAATCGTGATTGTTAGTAAGCAGGTTTAGATCGACTGATTTCCTACGTGAGAATATTATTAGAAATATTTTGTTGTGTAATAAATTTGAGACTGATTGACGTAACTTTCCGTATCGTTCCGCACAGACCGTGACAGCAGTGTGCACGTGTATTTTATGTATAATGAGATGTAAATGTTTATAATTAACCATAGTATTGTTACAATTTTTTCTTTATTCCTGTCCTGCAATGGTGTTCCTAGAGAAATAAAATATAAATATGATATAAATATAATAATTCACCTTATATTATACAATATAAGACATAAAACATTCGCATTGTAATATTTCTCCGCATTTGCATGCATGTAGTATATCAAATTTTATATTTGTTTGTTCATTCACAAATGGACAAAGTTATTATAATCAATTTATTATTATCATTATAATGAATTGCTAAATTTTAAAAAAATATTATACAAGAGTTTAAAGAATTTAATAAAATTTATGGTGCCGAAATATTTAATAAAATATATGCCAATAATGTAAGTAATTTATGTAATGAAAATATATGTACGATTTGTTAAATATCTATTGTATCATCGCCTTTTTCGAGATCATGATTGATATCTTCCAAAGGTACTTCAATAATTTCTTCAAATTCTTCTTGTATACGATTTTCCTCATGCCCATAACCTATAATCGTATTAGACCATTCAAAGAATGACAATCTTTTAAAGGATACATCATAAGTTTGAATGTTATTATATGAATTAAGATTATTGTGTTTTGGAAATGATTCCGAAACAGCACTTTTATTAGTTGCATTCGTGGAGGAACTTTTTTCCTTATATTTAGGTCTACCTGATCCTTTTTTATTTTGATTATTAATTACTTTAACAATCTCGGCATCAACAGTCACAACATAAGACATTAGAACAAAAGCTAATGTATTAAAAAAGAATATAGGTGCAAACTGATCGTAGTTGAGAGGTTTGGTCGCAGTTAAAAGAACCACAAATGCACTTAGATTCAGTAGAAAAGCTACTCCTAAACGAACAAAATTCCAGTATATAACTCCAGTAAATAAATTGTGTTTTGTATTTCCTCTCGTGCTTGTATTAAAACCTGCTAGATTATTGCTGGAACTACGAAGGATTTGTATTAATCTAAATGTAACATACAAATCAATTGAAAAGTCTACGCATATTGAGATTGTTTCTGATTTAAATATGAGATTAAAATTACTCGCACACCAATTTCGAAGCGGGGTTGGTAATAATGATATTCTGGCAAAACCAAACGCTGTAAACTATATCCATAAAAAAAAATCATAAATAAATTGGTTGCAAGAGAATAGTAATTACATGCTCAAGAAACTTTACATACGTGAGATAATGTTCTTCCTGAAAATAAGATAATGCTCGCCCATTTATCTATTTGATGATTTCCAATTTGTCTCAAACGCCACAATAAAAAAAATGCCAAGGCTTCTCTAAAAAAGAATGATGAAATATATGATAGAGAATTTATAACCTTGCAACCAATTAAGTCTACCCAAACAGGTGCAAATGATCCTACAATTCTTATTATGAACAATATCGTGCCACTAATGTTTATTATAATTTTGTTGATATTGGAAACATTGGATTGACGCGTTTTGTATAAAAAGAAAGAGACGAAAGTATTGTGTAAAAATACCTAAATAGAAAGAAATAAAATATAATCAGAAAAAGTTGTATTTGAATGTAATTTATGTTCCTCAAGTTGAGGTAACCTACCATTACAGCTACTCCAAACAAAAAACCCTTATAAGCATCATTTTGATAATTGGAAATCATTTTACAAAAAGAATTTTAAATGAATTGCAAATTTTGAAGAAACTTCGAAAAAAAATTTTTTTATTTATTTTATTACAAATTTTACATATACAAAAATATTTCTTGTTTGAATGAATTTCTGTATTTTTGTGAATATTAAAATTGTACAACGTATTTCTTTCGATAACGCAAATTGCTTGTATTACTCTTAAAAAAAACTGGACAGACATTTAGTATTGTTCTTTAAAATGTGTTGTATGCCAAATTCAAGGCAGATTCTATTTGGATATTATGGCCAAAGTAATTTATCATTATCAATTAAAAATATCTAAAGAATAATTTATTCTTATAGGACTTTTTCCACGGAACGATAATCTTTCTATTTTGCCCTGAATGGATTCCCAAAATAAAATTACTTTTAGGTGAAGAATTAATTTTTGTATGGTATCACGTATTTGCATACAGTATATATAACGTGATTCAATTAGATATTATTAGTTCAAGTAATAGAATTATCAATATTATTAATATTAATAATAATACACAAAGTATTCACAACAAAAAATAAATTTTAGTTATACAAGATCTTACGTTTAATTAAATTAGAAATAGAATAGTCTTGTGGAACACGTTACGATAATGAGAATTCTTTTTTCCATCAAATATGTTTTAATAATTCTTCACATAAGTATTCATATTAGAAGTAGTTGATTCATATCTCGTTTACAGAATATACGGATAATCCACTGTACTTTTGAAAAAAAAATGACTCGGGCAATCCTTTATTTTTTTCTATGAAATATTCGTTTTTGAAAATTTTTTAAGCACACTGTAATTATCACTATTTTTTAGCTAAATTTCTTTATTAAATTAATTTATATTTTATCTACTCATTATAATGAATATTTAAATTTTTTTAAATGTCAGAGTCTGACAATAAAATAATAGCTTTGTCCGTTACACACAAATTTACATTTCACAAATTTATATTTATGTTTTTCCGACGCCCTGGTATAAAAAAAGTAATGGATTTTGGGATAAGATTTTCCCTAAAATGGAATTTCTATGAAACTAAGATTGTGGTAGATGATTGATTGAAACAAATTATCAATGAATTATTCTGTACAAGTTCCATTAATAACAAAGTTATTAAAAACGATGGTGTGATCTATTTTATAAATTTAATTACTATCAATTCTCAATACCCAATGTAACATTGGTTGGTGTGATAAGAAAACTAATAAAGAAGCTAATTATTTTGATTCTGATATAACGATTCTTAATTGGTCTAGATATGATCACGATATTTGCAACTCGTGTTTAATGAAAATTTTATTGAATAATTGTATTAGAAATTTATAAAAAAAAAATCTGAAACAAAATTTATATCATGAAGAGTCGTTTTCATTAATTTTACCATCACCACGAAAGCATCCCTATATTTAGTTCTTAAAATTTTTGTTTCGACTCACATAACATCAAATACTCGGGATCTTACTCCTTGTTCTTTAATTTTTTTAGTTATTTACAATTACTAGTTTTTATATTTTAATATTGTTCTCTCCATTTTTCATATTCAAAAATATTTTAATTTGATTTCTAAACTGTCACCTTATAAATTTAAGTAGATCCCAAGTTTTAATATACCCGAAAATATTTGTCATATACAACTTTTTTCACACACGACCTCTCTTAGCTGATGTTGGAAGGTAGACTTGAATAGCCAAAAGCTATATGTTAATGAAATTCTGTAATAATCGGTACAATATTCACTTTCTCAATAAATTTTTGTTATTTAATAATATTAAATATTATATTAATTAATATATACAATAATAAAATTTTTTTTTTTAAAAAAAGTTAAAATTATAAAGATTATTATTTATTGGGTTTCATATTTCAAGGGTTACATCTGTTATATAGTAAGTTTTTGAATTTCGGAGATAAAAATTTCGTCCTTTATTTTTTTTTTACTTAATAACGCCCATCAATTTCATACGTAAGACAGTTTTTTTTATCAATAGTATTATAGGTAACATAATAAGTTTTCCCCCTTTACCCCTAGACAGTTCGAAATTAAAGAGATAAATCATGTGCCAAGATTGATCAGCTATTTATAAAAAAAATTTCATTGCACAAATTTAAAGTTTTACACATTTAAGTAAATTTTCCCCGTCTAAGGGATAATATTAATAATAAAGTTTTCATTGACAATGATTTCGTTGATCAAAGATGTGATTTTTGTTACTTGATCTTGGTTAACATTTTAATAATACGTTGACATCTTGGTACCTTTTATTTTATTTTTATTATTTAAAAAATTATTATTTCTGAAATTTTAGTTCCTATTTTTATTATAACATAATGAATTTAGCAAATTTATTTAATGTTAATACATTTATGTGAATCATTGAAATTTCGTCCGTCAAATATTTACTGTGGCGCACAAAATTATATTACACTTATATATATATTATATAGCTCATGTGATTTAAATTCAAATTCGAATTCATATTATTTGCTTAGATAATTTTTCGACACATATATTCCAATCTCTAATAAATATTGAATACCTTGACATTAAATAAAAGGAAAAAAATATGCCCTCAGAAGCTTGTTGCATGGAATAATTAACAATATTCGTAAGATTTAATTATTGTAAAACAATACTGTATTGTTATTTTTTATTATAAACATATTTTATAACTTTTTGCATTTCGATTAATTTTTTTATTGGCTAAATTTAACAACAATACAAAACAAGCAATAATTGAAATAATAATAATACAAAAATATACTAACAGTTGGCTATAATATTTTTTTTAACTCACGTATTGTAAGAAAAGACTTGAGTCTGTTTACTTAAGCGTCAATAGTAAAGCATTTTAATAATCTTTCATCCTAATCTACTTTTATTAAACTTTTATTAATATAATAATAAAAGATGTCGATTCTTATTCCTGAACTTTTGTTTAAATATTCTTCTACTTAAAAACTGACGCTTCATCCTTGTTTTCATGTTCTCTCGTGTCTCGTAATTTTGCAAGAATAGCAATCCCTTATTTATGGTAAGAACCTTTTAGAATTTCTGACAGAAAACATCATCTGCAAATAATTTCTACATTATTATTTCAAATCTTTAATTCTAGGACTCAAAAGAAATTTAGGATTAATAATTTTATTAATCCGCGATCAGCTCCTTTTTTTGACTACGTTTCCTTTTTAAATAATTAAGACATTTCTTACATATTCAAATCTATACTTATGCTACATGTAAAGTTAAGAAATAAACATTCTCAACTCTACAATAGCGATTTATTAAACTTATTGGGTATTGCTCGTTCATTTTTCAAGTTACTATTAAAATTTCCGTGTAACCAGAACTATAATCCGCGACAATACAATATACGGAATGAATTTTTCACCTAAAGAAGTTATAATCGATCTAGATAATAATGAAAAATTAAAAGTCAAATCTTTAATTTGGAAAAATACTTTCCTTTACCCCTCAACTTACTTTCTCATTGCACAAGCATTAGGTGACTCTAAATAGATAGCTTTAGTAATATTAATATTAGGAGATTATCTAAACAGATTAAACACCTATGTTTACAAAAATTTTATATTGACTTATCAATCGTTCGCAGTTTCTGGACATCACCTTGAATACTCTATTCCAATTTTTAAAAATTGTCAATTATTGCAAAAAGCAAAATTTTTGTTTAAGAATGATAATGAAATTGTTATAGACAATAATTTATTTTTTAAAATTGGTCAATATTTCTTAAAAAATTTGACATGTTTATGGTTAGAAGGAAATCTATTCTTTTCTACAAATGAAGTTCTAGCTTTTTTTTAACGAATGCAAAGCATCACTGGAATTGTCTCAATTTAGATTGTTCGGAAATATTGTATTTATCAAAAACGAGTTTTCAAATAGAAAAATAAAAATTTAAGGGGTGAAATTGATTTTCGGTATGCTAATAATTATAAGATTGTTGATAATAGTCATACCAGTAGCGAAGAAAATGAATATGTCATAATTTAGATAATGTCAAAAAAATAAAATGCGATATTTTATCTCCATAAACATTAAGCATTATGTTACTTAGTTTCTGTCCTTTCCCAGTTATCATTAAAGTGTTTTCGTACCCATTCTGCGCGCTTTTGTTTGTGCGTTACCGTTAGCATTGGAGTTGTTATTGGTAATTTTTTATTATACCTAAGTGCCTTCAAATACCGCAAAATTGTTAAGTATGACACGTCTATACATTTTTAAAAAAACTAATTTACTAAAGTTCGTGAAGATACTGTGGGATTCCTTCTTACAAATTGAGCGGCATTTTTTTGGTGTCCTTGGCGTTTTTTATGAACAATATTTCCAGTTTTTTTAAGTTTTACAATGCTATAAATAATTGTGGACATTGGAATATTTGTTCTCTGCTTTATTCACTCGCATTGCTTATACCAATGTCCCACAAATAGTTTATGGTTTCAGCATGCGTGTTTTTACTTTTAGGTGGCATTTTGGTCAGTCAATGTTCGAAAGACGAAAAAACGGAAAAAACCGCACAAAAAAACTTGCACAAATTTATGCCGATGATGAAAATTTGCGCCAATTTTCGCCTAATAAAATTTCTTGATGTGATAAATTATAATTTTAATTACTATGGTGTGTTTCACCTATGACCCTAAGCTTCAATTCTATCAGTTTAATTTTTTTATTTTTATAAAAAAAAATTATTTTATAACAATTTAAAGAAAATATATTTTTTTCATATAGTTAAATGTACAATTTTTAAATATTTAATAAGATTAGATGAAAATGGAAAAGGAAAAATCAAAGCTATTAAAGAAGTAGTCAATTGATTTTTATTGAATATACATCATACAAAGCAAGGACTATTTAATACTGGACAAATTATTGGCTTAAATATAATCACCTTCCAATAAATCGTCAAGGGAAATATCAAAAAACAATCATATTAATAGATGATGAAGATATAGCTGAAGAATGTCGTGCATGAATTCGATCTCAAAAAGGAACAATTGCATCAATAAAATTTAAAGAATTTTTTGAACAAAATTTATTAATTAATTCTGGGATTATGAAAAAAAAACCATAAGTTTGACAATTGTAAAGCGCTGGTTAAATATACTTGGTTATTTTTTCAATCACATAAGCAAGGTATCTATTTAATAATAAAAATATTGTTTATAATTTTTAAATACATTTAAATTTTAATTATATTTAAATTTTTAAATGTATTAAACAACATATTATGATGGACATGAACATCTTAATGTTGTCAAGCAACAAAAATTATTTTTGAAGAAAATGTTTGAATATGAAAAATATATGGCAAAATATGAAGAAGAAAATCACCAATTTTTGAAATCAAATGAGAAAGAAATTATTTTTGTAACTCTTGATGAATACATATTTTATTCTAATGATGGAAAAGAGGAGTGTGGATAAAAGAGGATTATGTGATCAAAATTAATTACAACAATATTGGAAACAGATCATTTATTCCAACATGGGAAGAAATACCCATAGAGCTCCCTATAAAGCAGGCCTTAAAAAAAATAAATACAATAAGACACAGACAATGTTGGAAACTGCAAAAAAGGTTTCAAAAAATCTTGGATGATGAAAAAACACAAAAAATTGACTGGATCACTACATTTAAAACATTACATCCAAGTAAGATAACAAATGATAACACAAGCAAAGAAGATCACATTAAAAGAAGTTTTGCAATGAAACTTTTTAATGGAGAACTGTCTGTAATACTCAAAAGATTCAAGTATCAACCCCACATATATAACAGTCCAAAATGTATATTATATGGAAGGTATGAGGAAACTGATATACATGTGTTTGAGTGCAAAAGAAATAATAATGAAGAGAGTGAATACAGACCAATGACAAATCATTACAAACATCTAATTAATTGTCTAACTATAAAAGATTAAAAACAAGCAGATGAGATAGAGGAAGACAAAATACAAAGTGAACTTAGGTCCCTAAGTGAGTTATGGAAGTTTTGGGGAGATACAGATGAAATGAGTTTACCTAGGATCACATTACACAAATTAATCAAGGGATTCATACCACAATCATTAGTATTCAAAGTTACATCAATGTTGAATTAATTATTGAAGGAATGGTTAACTTCAAAGAGTACTTAAAAGATTACTGGAAGGAACAGTGTGAAAAAGTGGCACTATGGGAAGCTAAAAATTATATTACAAATAGATTGAAAAAGAAAAAAAAAGTGAAAAACTAATTTAAAAAAGGTGAGGGAAATAAGAGAATATAATGACAGCATAAAGTTAGTAGAAACTAATGAAGGGAAATACAGTAAAATAGAACAAATAGAAAAGAACATGATATATAAATTTAGAATGTAAATTAACTTAGAATGCAAATTTAATAATAATTATAGTTATATATAATAATTACATCTGATGGGATTTTAACTATTAGTTCCTGAGGTTACATTTAGGCAACGATGAGTTGAATAGTAAAATGTTATTTTTAGTCAGTTTCAATAAATGTAAAATAAATTATCTGTATTTTTAAAATTTACACCTAATTTATTAATAAAAGTTTATTGAAGCAAGACTCTGTTGGATTAATAAAAAAAAAAATAGTAAACGTTATCACAAGTCAAATACAAAAGAATTGCCATATTGGAAAGAAATTCTGATTTTATCTAATTTATAATATAGGGTGCAATAAGACAATCAATTTTTATTGATTTTTAGTTGATCTATAATATAGGAATTACCATTTGGTATAGTGATTCTTTTGTATTTGAATAGTATATATTTATTAAAATATTCAAGTACTAATTTAATACATTTTAAATAGATCTAGATCTAATAGAGAAACTCCTGTTAATATCAAAGATATTATTATTTATTACTCATATTACTTATTAATTATTAATTATTTTGAAAGATCTTTAATCCAGAAAATAAAAAAGATATACACAAATTGTTCTAACAAAATTAAATAGCAGCAATATTAATAATTTTTATTTATCATAGTATAGAATCTTAATTCACATCAAGAAATTTTATTAAGCAAACATTTGCACTAATTTCATCACTTGTATAAATTTTATGTGTGTTTTTTTTCATTTTTTCAACTTTGCTCACAATTTATCAGGTACAGAATAATTTCCTACTAAAATATTTTTAAGATAAATAGAATGACCTTATTTTTAATTATAAAAGTAATATATATTTTATTTCTGTAGTATCAATATTCATAGTGATTATTTAGTTTAAATAAAAACATTTGTGAAAATTTTTGTAAATCTTGTCGAATCTTGTACAAATTTTCACATAATTTTTTCACAAATTTTTTTTTTAAAACTGAGTAATCATCACAAATATCAATGCTACATGGACAAAACATATACAATTTAATAGCTAAGAATAAAACTGTTTCTATATATCCTAGAAACTTTAATAGAAAATTATTTTGTGTCTCATAAATTGTGAGTAAAGTTGAAAAAAATAGTCTAAAAAAATTTCCTTATACACCTTTATTCCTTTTTTGATAAAGTCATATAAAAGTTATTTGATTGAAAATGTGAGTATAAACAACACCATACTTGTAATAGATATACTATGGGATATCATAGATATGATTGTAATATTTATAGTAACACTGTGGTATATCTAATCTATTTCACAGAAACTGACACTATCAGGAATTATATAGAGGTTTCTAGTATGTTATACGTACAAAATGTTCAAATAATGCACTATAACATTGTGTTTTAGTATGCTATAAATACAAAATATTCAAATAATGCACTAGTTTATAGATAAAAAAAATTTTACTTATACTTGAATTTAAACATATAATCAATTTGATTTTGAGCCCATTTCAAATAACCTTCTGTGAATAGATTTTCTTCAGAGTAATATATGGTCATATTAACTTGGATACCATTGTATGCCTATATATATTACATATGGAATCCCATAAATTATGATGATCTAAGCATTTTTTGAAAAATTGAAGTTAATTTTCAGTTTGCTACCCTTGACATTGTACAAAATCTTTAGATCAATATTCCAATTTAATTTAATGAAAGTCTTTACATATTTATTTCTTCATGAAAGACACCTGGAATTAATATCAGCCAAGAAAAATCTTTTTTAATTTTTGTATGTGATGATATGGTACTCTATCACAGGTAATTATGATTCATTTCAAATTATTTTTTCCTCAAAATCTTATATAAATGTTGGTGTATTCTTCCAAGTTGACAAAACTGATATAAAGGTAATTTACATTTTCCATCTCTCTTTCTACCAAATTATGATGACAAACAATAACAATAATGTTAACCTTCACATCTTAATAGTAATCATTTAAATTTGTTGTGATTAACAACAATAACCTTATAACTTATGAGGAAATGATTAAAAATAGATTCTTGGAATTTTTATTTAATGGATGTGCTAATATTAATCAATCTTATTTGGTAGGAGCAGTTAATGTGAATGCACAATGATTAGGTGCTTCATTTCTACAGAATGTAGGAGAATTTTGACAGAATTTTTTTTTATTATTTTATATATTCATTTACTATTTTATCTATTTATTATTTAATTTAGATCATTCAATGTTACAAAAGTGATACCAAAGTTATGGCAAAATATCAAAGGAATATCCAATTTTTTGATAATGATTATTAGATAATAATCAATATTACAATATTATGTAAATTATGTTATGCTCCAGACTTTACATTATTCATTGATTGAATTACCAAAATAATAAATCTTAATTATTATATGATATTATATTATTATTATATATTAGTTTAGTGTTAATTTAGTCATTACATTTAAGTTTTTTTTTTTTAAAAAAAAACAAACCAACAAATGTCATATAACTATTGAAGTTCAATAAATTACCATTTATTGTAACATTTTGGTTACTCAATTCTGTATATAGTGTGACAACACAAATCAGTAATCAGTTGAAATGTCATGGGGGATGATAATTTGTGGCACTAGATGAACATTCAGGTAATTGTTATTCCAGGTGAGATGATCATATGAGGATGAAGGATGAAGTACAAAGATGAAGGATGAAGGATGAAGAATGATGCACAAAGGATGAAGGATGATGCGCAAAGGATGAAGGATGATGCACAAAGGATGAAGGATGATGTGCAAAGGATGAAGGATGATGCACAAAGGATGAAGGATGAAGTACAAAGATGAAGGATGAAGTGTAAATAAAAGAGAAAGTATAAATACAACTGTTGTCAGGTGTAAGTTTAAAAAGTCAAGAGATTGTACCAGCTAGTTAATTAATACTTAATATTGTGGAATAATTTGAAATATTTTAATTATTATTAGATCGAAAAGTAAACTTACTTCAGGGACGATAAATAGACATCCTAACATATGATAATATTTCTGTTGCTGAATTATACTTTACTTTTAAAAACTTTATACTTTATATTTTAATAAACTTACATCTTGTGTTGTAATATTGTGAAATATTATTAAATATTGTTTGATACTGTGTTAATTACTTTTACTCCACCTTACTCACTGTGCCTTCATGATTAATTAATTATTATTTGGTTATTATTTATTATATATTTATTATCTGTTTTGAGATAGGCCAGTTAAATCAATTGTATTAGCTGTGACCTACTGGCAGATAGAGTGTATTATTATGTTTGTGTGATGCAAACTTTGAGACTGATTTGAGAAATTGTTCGAAATACTCTGTACAAGGGTGACAATGGTATTTTGCGAATAAATATAAAAAATTAAGTTTTATTTAATTTATTATTCAGGTTTTGTGGTAACTCAATTCTACATATTTAAATATTTTGCAAAAAAATAAAAAAAATTAGGTTTGTATTGAAGCATTCAGATAATTCAGATATAAATATATTTATTGATATTTTTTTTTTAGAAAAAATAAACTTCTACCTTACATATTGTAAGTGAATAAAAATGATATTTTACGATTCATGCTCAGTATGCAATCGATCTACTAGGTGGAAGTGTGCAAACTGTGCAACTCAGCACGTTTCAAAAATGATTTTGATAGATGGATGAGTGGAAATGATACAATTGATAAATTTATTCAAGATGCTCACCTAAATGCTGATAATAATAATAAAAGTAATAGAATGGTTACCTTATGGAAGATTTAAAGGTATTAAAGAAATAGCAAAAGGTGGTTTTGGTACTATTTATTATGCTAACTGGATTGATGGACAAATTACTGAATGGGATGTTCAGAATCGACAATGGTAAAGACGTGTTAAATGAGAAGTGGTATTTAAAAAGTTTGATGGTATTGGAGAGGTAAAATAAATTCTAATTTAATATGAAATTTCTTTTGAAAATGTATAATAATTAAAAAATATATTATTTAGATGTCCATTCATTTGAGAACAATGATATATCAATCTCATTTTTGGAATTAAAAAAGATCCAGAAACTCGCAAATATATGATGGTGTTAAATTATCTAGAAGGTGGAATTTTAGAAATTATTTAAATAATAATTTTAAAATATTAGTTGGTAATATAAATTAGATAATTTAAGAGATTTGACAAGAAAATTTAAAGAAATTCATGAATTAAATATAGTACATCACGATTTCCACCCTGGAATTATTTTATAACATAATTTTGATTCCTTATATATTTCAGATTTTAGACTGAGTAAAAATTGGGAAAAATAGAGAAAATTCTCAAAAGAGAAATGTTTTGGAGTATTGTCCTATATAGCTCCTGAAGTATTATATGGGGAAGAATATTCAAAGGCTGCTGATGTCTATTCATTTGCAATTTTTACTTACGAAATAGTTACTGGTTATCCACCAAATCCTGATGTGCCGCATGATGAAGAGTTAGCTTTGAAAATATATAATGGATCACGACCGAAAATTCCATTTCATACTCCTAAATTATGCGATGTTGGGATGCTCGAATCACAAATCGACCCACTTTTGAAGAATTATATAAAGAGTTGAACAAATGCTTTATGGATTATAGGGAAAATGAGCGTGAAAATAATAACGAAATTACAATTCAAATTAAAGAGGCTAATGAATTTTCTAAAAATCAAACAACAACCGATATTACAACTACAACTCCACTTAATTACAAAACACATCCACAAGCGATTTATACTAGTAGACTTCTAAATTTTTTAAATCTTCCAAAACCCGTAAATGAACCAAATTTTGAAAAAGAACTTGAAGCCCTAACAGAATCTTTTTCTCAAATAATTACTAGTAAGTTTCAATTATATATTTATTTAATTCATTTTTTATTACATTATTAATTATATTAATTCATTTTAATTCATTTTAATTTATTTTATTTAGATGATGACTTTTAATTATAATAAATATCATTATAAACTAGATTCAATTAACTTAGTTTGGAGTCAAGAGATAATCTTTATATTTTACAAAGTTACAATGTACATTTTAATATTAGTTTTTAACAACCATTATTTAATTATTGTCAGAAATAACAGCTGATCAGGTAAACATTGGTAGAGCAAAGCAGTCAAATCAAATTTTTAATTGTTTTCCAATAAACAAAATAGTAAAGCAATTTTTATTTCATTGTTTTCAATTAAAAAATACCTAATAAAAATGAATTATAAAAAATATTCTTATAAATGAAATTTTAAACAAAAGGTTCATTTAGTGAATTCGCATTTATTTATTTATTAATTTTTAATTTTGACAAATTCAACTTCATTGCCTTTTTTTTAACCTATTATTACTTTTTAGATCTTGACATTACTTGTTATTACTTGTTGTTACTTTTTATTACTTGCTTGTTTTCTATTTCATATCCGAATTTCCCCACAAAAAAAAAGTTTCATCACTAAATTCATTTCTCGAAAAATTAGTTTTCTGAAAATCTTACTAAAATATTTCAAATGGGTTGCAGTGTTTAAAATTCAATGTCGAGAATGTGCGCTTGCACAAAAAAACTTTGCAGCATCCGCACAAATTTTGCGCATGAAATTCTAATTTATATGTGTATTCCGTACATGATTTAAAATTTGAATTTTAACCACTGAATGATTGTTCCTTAATACAATATAAAAAAAAAATCTAAATGAAGAAAAAACCTTCTATCTCCAAAAATGGAATTTAAAATTCATCCCCATGTGATATCAATATATAGCAAGCATTTGTTGTCAAGTCATGACGTATTGGTACAATTTTTATTTATTTATTTACATCATAAGATGTCCAGATGTGGAATACAATATTTGCTTAGCGATACATATGATTAGATTCCTTTTTCTGTGTTATGTTTATGTTTTGATCATTTGCTTTAATCTGTAAAATGCACAATGACGTACCTAATTCATTCTTTGTTGCGTTGATATTCTGGTTGTTTTCAAAAAAGAAAACAATATATAATCAAATTTAGTAAAAAATTTTAATTCGTATAGGGAATATCATTTTTTTGTTGATATATTTTTAGTGAAACTTTAAAGATATTTCCTAGTGGTAGTGAAAATATGATTGTACAAACCTGAATTTAATTTAAACAAATGCACAATGGTGTAGATGGCTCGTGGTTCTGTGCATTACTCAAATTTAATGATATCGGGATTTACGATGTGCAGCACAACTTTTCTTTTGTTTTCCTTTATTTCTTTTATACTTTCGTCTATGCAATTAAAAGACGGGAACACGCATATGTCATTGGCGTTGGCGTTACGTTACATTATGAAAATTTTTTAAATCATAGAAATTCTCATTTTTTGCACTCGTGATAATCGAAATAATCTCTTCGAACCAAGGAATTTTTTGTTTAATTGATTGATAACAAGCATAAATACAATAAAAATGATTTTTTTTTACTCAATGACTCATTTTTGGCCAAAAAAAAAAAACTCTATAATGTTTTGTAATTTGTATTAAATTAATAATCTTGAATAATTTATATTTAATGAATGGTTTGTGTTGAGAATCCGTGGATGAATTTATCCGTCTCGTTGGCGAATGACCTTTAAATAATATAATCACATGTATAAATTTCGACTTTGTATTGCATATTATGTAATACACACTATGTGCCACGGATATCCGTTTATATCCGTTAAAACTTATCCGCGGATCGAACCACTAGTTGAGAGTAGCGTTAATTATTTAATAATAATAATAATATAAAGTATTAAAGTTATATTTATGCGCGAATTATTCCATAATGCATAATATGTCATAATGCATTGTGTTACATTTTTTGTATGAAAATTATGAAAATTAAATTTGGTTAATTAATTTAATTTAATTAAGTTTGATTGTTAAAATAATACAATGCGAATGATTAAAAGTTAAGTTTAGCCAGTACAAAGGAAAATCCAATAGAATGATTATCATAAATTAACAATGAATTTTGCTTTATTTCTATAGAGAATTCAAAATAATAATTGTTTTTTGTTCACTTTGTATTGTAATACTTGTGAAAGAATATTCTTTTTTTTCTTTAATTTAATTTTTTTTTCCATCGAACACATACTCAGAACTTTGGATCAAACTAGTAAAATTAGTAAATTATGGAATAATTTTTTGAATTTTCTATTTTCTATGCAGATATTTTGACGAAAAATCTATAGTGAAATTTCCATTTGGGTTTAATAGAAAATCTATATAAATCTATAGTGAAATTTCCAAAAGGGTTTAATAGAAAATCTATAAAAATTTTTGAATTAAATTATTTTTTATCAAAAAATTTATATAAATGTGGTGTATTCACCCGAAACCAAAATAAATACTTTAAATTTTTCTGTCTCTCTTTCTACCGAATAAATTACATTTTCTGTCTCTCCTTCTACCGAATATCATTAAATATCAAAATATAGAACTAACGATGGCTAATAATCCTAATCTCCCTCCTCTAAATAATCTTAATCCTCCACCTAATCCTCCACCTAATCCTCCACCTAATCTTCCACCTAATCTTCCACCTAATCTTCCACCTAATCTTCCACCTAATCTTCCACCTAATCTTCCACCTAATCTTCCAC